CCCCAAAACCCCAAAACCCCAAGAATATACATAGAAGCGATTTTTTTAAAAATTATAAAATGTATCAATTAAAAATTAATTGCTTTTGTTTATAAGTATAAAGCAGTCAAACAAAACTTTATAAAGAATTTAATACTATATATGATAAAAATTGCTTTTTTTGCCTATTATTGAGAACTTTAGTTGCATCTTCTTGTCTAGATCATTAATACTTTGATTTAGTTAAAGGAAAATGCTCTGGTATTTAGAAGCTGATAAATTATTATAGATTGTGATATTTAGTGCAAAACCTGCTCCTCAACTAATGAATGTACTAGTTGCCTAAGAGAAGTAATGAAAATAGATTCTTAAGGAGCTTGCAATTTCTGTGGAATAAATGAATATTTTTTTGAAAATAAATGTGAACGTATTGAAATTTAAATATCTTAAACTAATTTTTAGCTTGCATCTTCAAATAGAATTTTGATAGCTAAGAGACTTTAAATTCTGTCGAGTAATATTGCCTCTAATGTCCTGATAATTAATTCTTAAATATTGAGTCACTGATTTGCTAGGATAACTGTGATATTTATACGAATGAAATCCAATTGCCAATTGATAATTTTTGAAGGAATACTACAGCCAAGTATTGCAGAAGTATAATAAAATAATATTGTTTCATTTATCCTATTATTCTAGGTCACGATATTTATGTGGATTCAACATTTGAGGGGATATACGAGTTCGGTTCATTTCAATTTCCATATAAAAATATTGAATAAGCCTTAGCTGAGATATTTTTTTTATAAGCAGATAATAAATTTATTTTCAACTTATGGCTGAAAGAAAGTCAAACATTTTATCTTAAGAAAGACTCTAAGTATATAATTTTAGATTCATTAGAGCTAAGGATTGGGTAATTTAAATCTCTAACTTATTAATTAATTTAGATCATATGACAGTACCAATAGCAAATCCCCATTATCTGCTGGGATTAAAATTATTAAAGAGCAACTTTTATAATCATACCATAAATTTAAAGTAGCATTTGATTTTAAAACTTCTGCTTCTGATAAGCAGATCAAGACTCTCAAATAACACAGGAATAATATTTAAGATTTAGATTCTATATTCATACTTTTAAATGGCTCTCTCAGTATTCAGAATATTATAATCTCAAGTAAAATTTATTAATAATATTAATTTCTAGAGGAATTAGATTCTTATCATAATAGTAGAGATAATTTGTTTTAGATTAATAATCGAAACTTAGTAAATCCACTCTCTCTTAATGTAAGTATTTCCTCCATCTTAGATTCTTTGGTTAATAATATCATATAATAGAATGTGAAAATAGATTATGCTGGTTAAATTATTATATCTAAATACTCATCTTCATTGATAATTAATAACACAATTATTATAACAGACCAATTAAATAATGGTATAATTTTCAATGATGTAGATTGTGATTATGCCTTTGAAAATGATGGAAACAATTTATTCATAATTAAAGAAGCACTATTTATTGGCCATAGAAATTAGACTTTGCTGAGACCCATGATATCTTTTAACGCAAAGCAATATCGAACTGTTGAAATCAATAATTTGACTTATTAAACACATATGATTAGCTCAGATTTAAGCAATAAGCTGCTAGAAATCTGATCTGAAGATGCATGTAATATAAGTAAGCCCTATTTATTACAATACATCAGAATCAACGGAATAAATCTAATTGGACTAATTACTGGAAACTCCATAACATTTAATGAAAAGTAAACAGTTTCAACATCAATTTTCATAAATCTTGCATCTTTCAATTCAGACAGCATTATCATTGAGAATATAATTGCTTAAAATTAAGTTTCCTCGTAAACTATACTGACAGTGATAGCAGGAAATTAAAATCTTACTCTAAAAAATTTGCACTACTAAAATATCACCATGCCTCCATCTGAAATATTTTGCTTATAAAGCGAAGGAAATGGAAGTATTAATGTTTAAAATTTCACTCATTAAAATTCATATTTTCAAGGAAAAGGAATTATCAATCTTAGAAAATTTTAACAGATAAATGTAGATAATGTCTAGATAAAAATGGTAAAATGTAAGTTTTAAATGATATTTTATCTAAAATTTCATAGTCGTTAAAAAACAGAACAACTAATTCATTTTGAAATCAACTTCTCTTGATATGAACTCAGTTGTCAGATATAGCGGACTAAATTTTGTGAATAATTAATTAGAAGGGAACCAAGCCATATCAAATGATGACCCAGTAAAATTACTTTAAATTGATGACTCAAATTTCGAAAACTAAAGTAATTAAAATAAATTAAATTATTTTATTTTTAGCCATTAGTTCTGATAATAATTACATTGTTAACTAGAACTCCTTAAGTTTTAAAATGAACACTATCATGTTTAAAAATATTACATACTCTGACAAAGTTCTAAGAGAAAGTTTTATCATAAATTATAGATAAAAGCTACTGGTTTAAGGATTAACATAAGACTCAATTTTCAATTAAGTTACAGTAACTTAATGCAATATTAACCTTCTAAGTTTTGACGGATTTAAAAATCTCTCTATCACAGATAATAAGAAATATTACTTAGACATAAAGAAAATGTCTATTTATTTAAACTATTTCAGTGGATATGGGACCTTTTTAAGATTTAACAAATTTGTTGATGAAAACGAAGTATAAATAAGAATAATTGATATGTACCTTTCGACTATCAGATTTCCGGTTAAAGGTTCTCTCATTGAGGCATTTCAAAACACAAAATATCCACTTCAAATACACAACTCACTATATAATTTTTCAAATTATGCAACCTTCTTAATAAAAGCAGGCGATACTAAAAGAAAAGATTTACCCTTAATCCTCGAAATTTTTCAAAGTATATTTGATATGAACTAGTCATTTAGATAGGCATTATTTACTGTTAAGACTAATAGCTAGCTTAAAATGTACAATTCAATTGTAAATAGCACAATATCAATTACATATGGAGGGGTTTTTCGAGCAGATTACTTTTAGTCTTACATCTACGCTGAAAATTCCTCATTTAGGGCTAATTTTGCATATGACGGCGGAGTTTTCTATTCTCATTAATAATCTACAGTTGAATTCAAAAATTGTTTAGTCTTAGAAAATACAGCAATCTAGGGAGGATTAGCAACTTTGGAGAGTGAAGGCTAATTCATTATGATTAATTCTAATTTTTCTGGTAATCATGCTCTTAAATCTTCATTTGTTACAATATCAGACTCTATTAACTGACCCTCGTATTTTATAAACTGTTCATTCAATAATAATACTGTGATTACATTTTATGATATGGTATATACTAGAATTCCAGTATTCGCTAGAACCTTTTTCTTAGCTACTTCTACAAGCATATTAAAAAGGGTTTTAAATGGAGAAAAATATAGTATTAAAGTCATTAAATCAAGTCTTATAATCGATAATTGCATATTTATTCATGAAACGAGATTAGCAGATATTTTTTATGGAGAGTTAAAAATAATAAATACTCAATTTTATGATATACCTTTCTACGCAGAAGATAATTCATATTTGAGTATAATTTAAAGTATTGTAACAGTATAAAATACATCGATGAATCACTCTTATTATGACATTTAGCGAAATTTGATTAGATAGTATATTTTCTCAGCTTCATTAGGCTCAACTCTTAATATAAGCAATTCAATATTTGAAGATATAAGCACCTAATTTTTATTTCTGTCGAACTCAAAACTCAGCATTATAGAGAGCAATTTGAAAAACATCAATTTAATATCTAATACTGATCATTTAATGCTTGTGGATTAAAGCTTATTATTTCTAAAAAATAGTTCATTTTTCAATCTTGAAATTACTCATGATGATGCTATTCAAATTACAAGGTCCAAAGAAGTAATCATAGAAAATTCTAAATTTATTAATTTCACGACTACTTTAATTTTTACAGATTAGTCTTAATTCAAACTTATTAAAAACTGCACATTTTAAAATTATATCGAAGGAATTTAATCTAATTAAGCTATTTAACTCTAAAGAAGTAGTCTGAGTTTATAATAAAGTAATTTTAAAGGATTAAAAGGTTTATTCGGAGGAGCTATAACTACCATTGATAGTGATTTTAATTCATCAGATTCTGATTTTTCTGAAAATACTGCTGAGATAGGAGGAGCTATTTCACTTTAATGCTCTAAATGTAAGTACAACAATAATAATGGAGAATATAGCGAAAAAATGTGATTTTAGTCTTGAAAACAACAAGTTTGAAAGTAATTATGCAAGAGTCTAAGGAGGGGCGATATATTTCAACAAGAATTTGCCTTAAAATATTGATAAAAATGAATTTTCAAATGATAATTATGCTTAATACGGATCTAATATAGCTAGTTTTCCTTTTGGGATTAATCTTATTTAACAAGATTAATTCCTCTTAGCGAGTGGGTAATTATATGAGGGAAAACTAATTGTTGAAGTAAAATAAGATTTGATTAATTATTATTAGATAGTAGATGCACAAGGATCGAGAGTTAACATAGACAATTCTTCGTAATTTATTATCTATTAATATTTTTATAGTATTGTATAACTTGAAGAAATTGATCGAAACTTAAAAATAGTAGGACTTAAGTAAGTTAGAGCAGAAAATGGAATCACAGAATTCAAAAAGTTAATAGTGTATGGCCCACCATCCCACATAAATGCTTAATTTCGAATATATTCATCAACTATTAACACTGAATACTTAAAATCTAATTTTCAACTGGTACCCTCTGAGAAAATTAATAATTTAGTCTTAAGCTTTTCCTTTAGATAGTGCCTAGAAGGTGAAATTCAAAATCAAGATTCGTAAGATATATTTGGCTTATATTTTTAGTTGTCAGCAATGCGATGCAGGGCAATTTTCACTTAGGAAAGGTTCTATAGAATGTTAAGATTGTCCGAGTTACTCTGAATGCAATGGAGGATATTAAATATAAATCTAAGAAGGGTTTTGGAGAACATCTTTTAATTCCACTATCATTAAAAGATGTTTATATAGAAGTGCATGCATTGGAGGACTAATACCATTAAAGACAGATGATATTTAACCGATATTTAAAAGAGATTCTGATATTTTGTGTGCTCCTGGATATTAAGGAAATTTATGCGATGCTTGTGGAAGTTAAAATGGAGTTTAGCTTCAAAGGACATCAAAGCATAATTGTGGTAAATGCCCTGAATAATGGATTTCATATTTAAAGATATTTGGTTTATTTTGTGTATTTTTATTAGCAATGGGCATCCTAATATTTTTCAACATCAAAAAAACTCATGAAAGTGAGGTCAATGTTGTATTAAGAATAGCTACCAATTATTTATAGATAATGACTACTACTGGAGCATATAATTTAGAGTGGCCTTACTATCTTTCAGAGCTCTTTGGTGTTTATAATAGTCTTGGAGATGCAATTGATAGCCTTATTTCGATTGAATGTTTTTTTAATGGATCGAAATCATTTTAAGGAGAAGAATCTGTTTATTATTTAAAAGCATTGATTGTATCACTATTTCCTATTTTTATCATATTTTTCTTATCCACAGTTCTAGTATTGTATTCAAAGTATAAAAACATTGACTAAGCAATTATTAGAGAATAGTTATTTATTACAGCAGTTGTGATTATCTATACATTGCACCCAACAATCAACAAATTTATACTTGCACTTTTTAATTGTATCGAGCTAGAAAAAGGAGAGTATTGGTTAGAATAAGATTTACAGGTTAGATGCTGGACTTAAAATCATTTCCTTTGGGCATTATCCATTGGAATTCCTGCATTATTAATTTGGGTCATTGTATTACCAATTTTCCTTTTACATTATATCCATAGCAAAAGAAAAGAACTTAAAGCACCTCTGTATTCTTATAAATTCAAAATGATCAAGCAAGGATTAAGGAACAGATATTACTATTGGGAGTTTGTTAATATTTTGAGGAAAACTATTTTAGTAGTGGCTAATGTATTTATGCAAAGTTATAGAAATATATTCAAATCATTATTCAACATATTAATACTTTCATTTTTTCTTCAATTACATCTTAGACTTAAACCATACAAAAACCCACTCATAAATGCTCTTGAATACAGAGAATATCTTTGCTCATTAGTCATATTTTTCGGATCTCTATTCTTTGTGAATTAGGAAATTTCTTCTGAAACTCAGCTGCTTGTTTTCATAATAATAGTTGCCTATAACCTTAACTTCATTATTTTATGGATTTACACTTTGATGGAAATATCCTAAATAAAAAAATTGAGATTTGTAAAAATTCATTTAAAGAAAATTTTACTTATACCTTAAAGTGTATCTGAAACCAAAATATCATTAAAGCCATAGGAATTTATAAATAAGGTTGATCGAATAAATAAAAGCTCAAATACGAGTATTTTAGAATTGCAAAAAGTATTCAATTTGGGTTCGATAAAAGGGAAAAATAACATTAAAAATATTGAAAAAGGGCACTCTAAGAATAGCAAGCAATCAAAGTAGAACACTCGGCTATACAAATAAAGAAGTAAAAAACCATATGAGAAAAATTAATTTGAAAAAAATGATAATCCCTTAAATTCTAATTAAACCTAGAGAATCATTAATTCTTAAAAATATAGTGATAAAAGATAGTATCAATCAAATAGAAACATAAATTCACCAGATATATTAACACTTAGAAAATACTATAATGAAGACACAATGGATGTAAAGCAAGATTCTGTTAATACTATGATACCTAGGCTACAAAGAAAAACTACAAAATCACCTTAAACTATTAAGAATAAATAGATCCTAGATCATTCGCCAATAAATAAATTTGAATTTTAAATAAAGATTGCAAATGATAAGAATATTAATAAAAGATTGGTGATTGAATAAAATAGAAAGACTCTTGAATAAGAACTCAATTAGGTTTCCAATATTACTGAGGATTAGAAAATTTAAGCTTTATCACTCAATTAGTCTACTAAAGAAGTCAAAATTAGGAATAATGATTCCTAATAAAATGATAAATATGGCGATTTTTATCTTAAGATACTTCAAGTAAAATTCAAGGATTGATTTGAAGATTGGAAGACATGACTAAAAATTCAATTAAAATAGAAATATATACCATTAATGAAAATATTGAATATAAATTAAAGATATTTACTTATATTTTTTCAAGTACTTATTTTGATACGAAGGGGTTTTGGGGTTTTGGGGTTTTGGGG